ACTTTTAGATAGATACTGCTTAAATTTGGTTTTTATCATAAAATATCTTATTTTCCCCATCTATTGTGATTGAAAATTTTACTGGGTATAGTAGTCTGGGCTGGCATCTGTGGTCTCTGAGAGACTGTAGAACAAAAGTTCAGGCCCTTCTGGCTTTTAGGGCCTCCAGTGAGAAGTAAGGTGTAATTCTAGTAGGTCGGCCTTTATATGTTACTTGGTCTTTTTCTCTTACAGCTTTTAATATACTTTTTTTTTATTCTGTACATTCAGTGTTTTGATTATTATGTGCCAAGAAGACTTTTTCAGTTCTCATTTTAGATGATACAAAGATGGCACACTCAGCAAGTATTGGTTAGGAGCACAGCTTTCCCATTCTGACAGGAACATAAGGCCCTGGTGGGCCCATTCTACAGTGTAATCAGCCAACTTCTGCTCACTTATAATTCAAGAACAATCAAGTCCCTGCTTAAATTCTTAAATCCTTCTTAAGTCTGTAAATCCCTTTCTGTTTTCTGCAATTGAACCTGCCTGGTAAAAGTCACTGAAGAGTGGGAGATAATTTTCTCCAAATAAGTCCAAAAACAGAAAAGCATTCAGTGACTTTTGACATACTTGATTTTATAACAATCTTGATAAAGTAGGAAAGATCAATATTTGTCAAAGGCCATCATTCTGCTCAGTGAAGAAACATCTACCTCTACAGTGTGCACTTTCACTTAACAAACTTCTCAAAATTTAACCAATGGAATCATATAAGAAAAGATCGTAAACACTAGGAGTTGGTGCAGTGATCACTGTTTGTGAATAGTTGTATACCTGGACAATTCAGTAATGTCGATATAAATCTATTGCAAACAATGCAAGAACATATGGAATCAATGGAAACAAAATTTGCCTGTGGAAGTCTGTAATTTCAGCTACTTGGGAGGCTGAGACAGGAGGGTCATGAGTTCGAAACCATCCTGGGTAATATGCTGAGGCCCCCATCTCAAAGGAGAAAAAAGAGAAAGAAAAAGAAAAAATCAATTGCCACAGTAACAAGACATAATTGGAATAAAGATCCAATTTGATATATCTAAAAAGAAGATACTTAAGAATAAATTGAAGCAAAAACTCCATTCTAGAAGGACATTTTCTACTTGTTCACCATTATATTTTCTGAATACGTAAAAGAATGAGTATTCAGAAGCTATCAAAGCAGAATATGTTTATTTATATTTATTTATAGTTTGCAGTGTTGGGGATCAAACCCAGGGCTTCGCACATACTGCGCAAGTTCTATGCCACTAAGCTATGGTCCCAGCTCCAAACAGAAAACAAAATAGATAAGTTGGTCTACAGCTTGTAAGAAAACATATTCAAACAAAAATATTCAGTAATTTTCATAAAACAATGCAGTATTTTTAAAAAGTTGTGGGTTTTTGTTTTTTGTTTTTTTTTTTTTTTTTTTTTTTTTTTTTTTTTTTTGAGACAGGTCTTCTCTATTTACCTTTGGCTGTCCTGGTACTCATTATGTAGACCAGGCTGACCTGGAGCTCACAGAGATCCTCCTGCCTCTGCCTCCAGAGTGTTAGGGTTAAAGGCATGCACCACCACACTGGGCTACTTACTATGCAGTAATTTTGAGTGCCTATAACAAGTATTTTTTGGAACACACACACACTCTATAAACAGAAATGTGATAGATTTGAGTTCAATAAAGACAACATTTTAAATTAGTTACTGCTTTAGAGAAGAATCACACAAGGTTAACATTCATACACTGAAAATATGTCATTTTTTACTCAGACTTGAAAGAAAGTGCTCAGTAGAAAGAGTGAATAAGGCAGAAATAAAATTGCCTTCAGAACACTGAACATATTGTTAGTATGTATCAATTCTGTGAAATAATGGGTTTCACTAATATTTTCATACATATACACAATGTACTTTGATTATATCTGCCCTTCCATTACCTTCTCTTATCATGTCCCTCCTAACTGCATTCATTTTTTCCTAATAACCACATGATTTAGTTAGGTTTTTTTAATTGCTGTGATAAATGCCATGACCAAAATCAACTTCAGGAGGAAAGGGTTTATTTCGTCGTAGAGCTCACAGTCCATCATGAAGGGAAACTGAGACAGGAACTTAAGGCAGGAAGGAACTTGGAGGCAGAAACTAGGCAGAGGCCATAAAAAAAACTACTTACTGGCTCCTCCTGACTCCCCCTAACTCCCCCTGGCTCCTCCTGGCTCCTCCTGGCTCTTCCTGGCTCCTCCTGGCTCCTCCTGGCTCCTCCTGGCTCCTCCTGGCCTCCTTTGCTCTCTTCTACACCCCAGAACCACCTGGCCAGGGATGGCATTGTCCACAATGGGCTGGACCTTCCCACATCCATCGTTAATCAAGAAAGTGCCCTCATGGCCTTTCCTACAGGCCAATCCAATGGAGACATTTTCTCAATTGAAATTCCCTTTCCCCAGATGACCCAGGTTGGTGTCAATCTGACAAAAAGCCTAACCAGGACATCCTCTTCCATGTTCATGCTTTCCCCCACCCCTCAAAATTTCACATAGGAAAGAATAGAGATGTTGTTCATTTTGTCTATATTGTATTGCCGCCAAGAAGTCCAATAGGAATTCATTTGTACCTTTATATAGCTAATGTGTTTCTTCACTTTGGAAGCTCTTTGAAGAATTAAATTTACCTATGTTATCTAACCATGGCCACAAGTTTGAGCAGGATTTACAGCCTGCCAGATATGTTACAGCACGGAAGAGTTTCCTCCATCAAACTTCACACCGTCATGTCTATTTAGGAATAACTCAATGCCAGCAATATAAGCGAAATTAGCTTTCAGTCAGCTTGGCTGTAAGTCTTTAATGGTTTTCAATCTGTGGCATCTGAGAACCCGTCTTTCCTTTATAAGACTGCATTTTTTATTTTAACCACCAGATGTCAGCAGAGAGACAGTTTTTCAAAGAACAGTCGGCATTTGATTCTTTGCAAATGAGAAAACATTTTTCATCTTTCATGTGTGAAAATTGGAATGTTCTTGTTGTGATCTGTCAGTGGCAAGAGGAGGAAGCATTCTAGTTAGAACTCGTAGGCAAATAAACACACTTACTCTCGGATCCAGACTCTCAAATGGAGCCAACTGACATCTAGTCTCTAAAACAAACCCAGCTTCCAAAATTTTATATTAAATATTTGAATTCTTTGTTTGTGAAAAGCTTTACAATAACTTCTTTGAATCAGTGTCTTGCTATATAGTACAGGATGTCCTAGAGCCTTTCTATCACCCACCCCCACCCCTGGGGAAGCACTTGAAAAGAGAATACTTCCAAGTGTTGTCTCAACATTGCCCAAGGACCAAGACAAGAACGGTTCAGTCAGTTATTCCATCAATATTCCTATAATTACATTGCACATCATATTTATATGAGCTGCCTTGGCCTCCAGCTGCTGGGACTATTGGCCTGTATTCCCCACATGGCGGGAAGATTCCTCAACAGTCTTTGGCTTGGCCTTAAGTGCTGAATGTAATGACCATATGATAAAGGCAATTGCATGAATATGACTCAGACTTTCCAGGGCATCTAGTGGTACTGAGGTCATATCATTTCACTGAAGTCATTGGTCTTTTAGGACACACGTGGTTTGAATGAGAAATGTCCCCCAAAGGCTCATAAATGTAAACACATTGCCCCGGTTGGCAATGTGCTGTCTGGGAAGTTCATAGAACCTTTGGGGTTGGTGTAGCCTTGCTGGAGGAAATACATCAAGGCAGACAGACTTTGAGGTTTTTATAGCGTCACTATACTCCTAGTTCACTCTGTTTTCTGCAGGCGGTTGAAGATGTGATTTCTCAGCTTCTGACCCAGCTGCCTGCGGCCAGCACTTCACCCCCTGACAGTATGGACTCTGCCTCTGGAGCCATAAGCCAAATAAAACCTTCTGCAAGTTACTTTGGGTCCTGATGTTTTATCATGGCAGCAGAAAGTAATTAATACCATTGCTCGATACCTTTGAGGCCATTTTGTATTTGGAGAATGTTCTAAATTCTCAGAGTTCATGCTCCAAAGGTGAAGAAAAAAAAATCTCTTGACATCTTCGACTTCAGGATCTAGAGGCCAGACCCTACCGGTCACTGTCATCTGATTGAAACCTCAGGAGAAGGGACGTGATGTCACCATCCATCATGGCAGGCAGATGGAGATTCAGCGTTCTGTACACCATGGGCAGAGATCGCTGCAGGAGTCCCTGGTGCACACAACTGGCAGCTGGGCTGCCCATATCTGGGGACAGCAGCTCCCAGATTTCCCTGCTGCCCCCCTGCTGTGTGACTCTATGTCCATTTGTTGTTCTCTGGCCCTCTCTGAGGCTCCGAGACCTGTTCAAAATCTTTCCTGAAGTTGTGTTCCTAAAGTACCTAGAGAAGGCTTATTTTCTGAAATTTAAAAAAAAATTAGACCTTTGATAATATCAAATTATAAGCCTAAAGTTATGTGAGGCAAAGCTCATGAATTCCTATATTATATTCTAGAATCACAAAGTTTTAGAATCTCAGCGCCTCTTTTATCATCTGTCTTTTGCCTTTGAACAAATTTTCATATTACAACATTTGAGAAAACCAAGTTTCTACTGGACACAGAAAAAAAGTCATTTAAATGGGCCGGAATGACTTTCTGTCAATTATTCATTTGGTGAGTAGGGCTGAAAGGGCACTCTTGGGAAATTTTATTTATGTGAAAGACAGGTGAAGGACCTGCAGGCTATAATCTACTTTAATCAGAGGCTTCTGCTACAAAACAACAGTGACCTATAAACCTGTACTTTCTTCCGTTTCCAGGGAAACCAGGTCACTATTTCTAGCCCTGTTTTGTTCCCTGATCTCTTAACCCCAAACTATGTCACCAATCTCCTTTTGATAAGGCTGATTGGCCAATCTGTAGAAAAAAATAGAAACTTAGTCATAACTCAGAGACATATTTGGAAGGCGTCACCCCAGAAGGGCCCACTTAACGCTCCTAGAATGTCACGGCTGTATTATACTAAGATCACAATTTACTAAACTATAATGGTTATCTTTCTTCCCTTACCATTCTTCTAAAAAAAGAATCAGATGAAGATTGTCTCTGAATTGGAACAATTTCCGTCCTGAGGGGATGGAAGGTCACAGTGGCCCCCTATGTTGTCACCAGTTGATCTTTGACTCTTTAAGGAAAGCTGAATGAACAGCCTGTGAGTCAGAGAATGTGGACAGTGAGTGAGGTTTGCCATCAGCAAGGACCATGTTACTGCTCTCCTTTCACAAGATTCTCAAATGCTGTTACCAGGTGAGGGCGGCAAAGAAACAGAGCTCTGCAATTTTTTTTTTTTTTTTTTTTTTTTTTTTTTTTTTTTTTTTTTTTTTTAAAAAGGGTTTTTTTTTTTTTTTTTTTTTTTTTTTTTTTTGGTTTTTCGAAACAGGGTTTCTCTGTGTAGCTTTGCATCTTTCCTGGAACTTGCTTTCTAGACCAGGCTGGCCTCGAACTCATAGAGATCCGCCTGGCTCTGCCTCCCAAGTGCTGGGATTAAAGGCGAGTGCCACCACCACCCGGGCGCATTTTTTTTTTTAAGATTATAAAAATGTGTTTATTGTAAAAGAAATTCAAGAATAACCAATTAAATTCTTATCCGCATGCTACTCACTACAGCCAGGAAGCATTAACCACTTTTACATCAGGACAGACACAAGGAATACTGCATCAAGGCCATATTTCAGGGAAGGGTGCTCAGGTCCCCCAAAGTCAGCTCAAGGGTTTTGTTTTTGTTGTTGAAATGTGGGCAAATTAGCGAAGTTGTTTCTAGGTGTAGCTTGGAGTAGGCAATTATTGTTCTTTTGTGGGGGAAATCTATATTTCCTGGCTTTTTACCGTTCTATTTAAATCTTGGTTATCTCCTTTCTACATATATACACACACTTATAATGTCTATGGTAGTGTGATAGCAGAATGTATCTAAGGCTCCCCTCCTTGGTTTACTTTTTAAATGGTAGCCTTGAACATATGCATTTAGAATACATGACTGGTAGTTTATGTTTCACAAATAGTTTAAATTCTGGTTGGGGCAACCTGTAGGTGTTTGAGGTGGGGCAGTGTTCTTGTGGGTCAAGCCTAGAGGCGCTCTCTTGCCCTCTATACACTTTGCCCTCACTCCCCCTTGGACGGATTCATGTTGGGCTGTCCCTGAGCAGGAGTGAGCTTTAGAGGCGGGCCTTTCCTTTTGCCTTTGCCTCAGTTTGGGATGCAAGGGTGGGTACTTGAGTTCTCATTTGTAGTGAACACAACGAAGACCGGACTAAACATTACCTACAGGATCATTCTTACAAAACCTGCTCACACTTTCCTGCTGAATGGACCCTGGGGGAGTGTGTAGAATGCTGTGAGGTCATGAGTCGGCTGGCAAGGTGGTCAGACTAGTGAATGTGTGGGGTAGTTGAACTTAGCAAAAAGCTAAAGATGAGCATGATTATGCCTTTATTTTTACAAGAAGAGAGATGGCTAGAGTATGTGTCCCCAGGAGTAACGATGGTTTCCAGAGAGTATTTTTTAAAGGAACAAATAAGCATGAATTAACTCTTCAGTATAAGCTATGAAGTAGTAGCTGGTTATGAATTGTAGTGGCATCAGCTAGCACCACTGTCATTTAAGGGTCTTTGGATGCTCTTAGAGGAATCCCTTATTTTCTAGGGTTTTTAATGAGCTCTGCATTTTTAAAAAATGCTATTATTGTTTATGATTTGTGCAAAATAATAGCACCATGGCATTTTCATACATGTATACAATGTCTTTCCATCATAGTCCTGTTTCCATGCTCTCTTGTATTTCTCTCCAAAATGGACCCTATTTTTCATCAGCTGTCTTTTCTTCCTCCCTCCCTCCCTCCCTTCCTCCCTCCCTTCCTCCCTTCCTTTCTTTTGTTTACCTTAGCTCCTTATATAAGAGGAACTGGATTTGTTTTGGTTTGGTTTCCTTGTTTTTGTTATATTTTCCTCTTGAGACTGGCTTACTTTGGTTAATACGATGGCATCCATTTTCTTGTAAATGACAGTTGCATTCTTCTTTATGATGAATATATTCTTTTTATAATTTATTTAAATTTATTTTATGTGCATTGGTATGAAGGTGTCAGATCTCCTGGAACTGGGGTCACAGTAAGCTGCCATGTGGGTGCTGGGAATAGAACCCAGGTTCTTTGGAAGAGCAGGCAGTGCTCTTAACTGCTGAGCCATCTCTCCAGCCCATGGATGAATATATTCGTGTGTGTGTGTGTGTGTGTGTGTGTGTGTGTGTGTGTGTGTGAGAGAGAGA